TCAAGTATGGAAGCAAGAGGACAGCTTGCAGGAGTTGATCCTCTCCTTCAACCATGGAGATTCCAGGGATTGACTCAGGTCGTCAGGGTTGGCAGCAAGTACCTTTTCCTGCTGAGCCATCTTGTTGCCCCTGCCAACCTTTATTTACTTTTGTCTTTTTAATGATCCAAAAAAGAATTTCTTGAATCAAAAAACATGATCAGTTTTATAAATGTTACTGCCCTTCATCAGTTTTCTTAAAAATTTTATGTGTATGTTTTGCCTGCATGTATATAAGTGCACCACATGTGTGCAGTTCCCACAGAGGTCAGAAGAGGGCATTGGATTCCCCCGGAACTGGAGTTACAGATGGTTGTTAGCTGCCATGTGGGTGCTGGAAACCAAACCCAGGTCCTCTGCAAGAGCAGCCAGTGCTCTTAACTGCTGAGCCATCTCTCCAGGCCCCTTTGTCAGGTTTGAAAGAATGAAAGGAATTGTGGGTTTTTTTTTTTTTTTTTTTTTTTTTTGAGACAGGGTCTCACTATGTACCTCTAGCTGGCCTGGAACTTGCTATACAGACCAGCCTGGCCTTGAACTCAAAGAGATCCACCTGCTTCTGCCTCCCAAGTGCTGAGATTAAAGGGCTTTTTCAGTAGACTTTAAATGCTTGTTGGTGGGGCTAGAGAGATGACTCAGTGGTTAAGAGCACTGGCTGCTCTTACAAAGGACCTGGGTTCAGTTCCTGGCTAAAAAAATTGTCTGTAACTCCAGTTCCAGGGCATTCAATGCCCTCTTCTGGCCTCGATGGACATTGTATGCCCATGGTGCACTTACATACATGTAGGCAAAACATTCATACACACAAAATAAAAATAAATACTTGTCAGTTAATCTTTTCCATTGGAAGAAATCCCTATACAGAATCTTCTGAAATGAATTGTCTTCCAAGGTTTAGGAGACTTAGTACTCCTTCTTATGAATAGCTCCTTCTTACGAATAGCTCCTAGTGCAGGCACCTGATCCTGAGACAATGTATAATCTGTGGTCTTCTAGACCTTCTAGACCCAAGGCCTTGGAATCTACAGAACATTAGTTTTGTTTGATCATCATAAAGTGAATGAAGGTCCTACTTGAAAAAGCCTAGGTGAACTGCAGATAGGAGTTGTAACGTCTAGTCATTTGAAAACATTTTTAGTCATGTCTAAACCTTGGCAAGCTACAGGATTCTTAACTTCTCATATGAATTGAAAATTATATGTGTGTCTGTTTAGCCCCAGATTTGTTGAAAAGGAATTTAGTTATTAGTACTTTATTTATGCTGAGTTAAGGCTTGGTTATGAGCAGAAGGCTTATGATGGAGGCGAAATCTGAGTAGTTCCCTGAAGGACAGGCTCTACCAGATGGGCTGAGAAGAGACTAGTGTGAGGAGAGGAGTGCAAGGCCTGTTGGGGAGCCTGGATTTCATCCTGTAGATGTATTGTCATCACTCAGTCCAGAGTTCTTTTGCTCAATTTGAGACAGAAATTATCAAGAGGTAAGTGATGTCAATCAAAGAAGGGTTCCTAGACTGTAAGGCTGTCGCACTGTGTTTATAGCCTGGTTGCTGGCCCTGTAGTGGCATGACTGTGGCTGTTGTGTGTGATCCTTGATTTTTGCTGTCAGCATTGAGGTCTGTGTTCTGTGACCTCCTTTTGTGCTTCATGCTCATCTGTGCTTGGTGTACAGAAAGATGGTGCATTGCTCACTATTGTTACCAAAGGAATGTTGTATATTGGCTTTTGGGCATTCTGTACATGTGGGAATTAAAGGAGTCTCTGTTAGCTTAGTAGGAAGCTACCAGTTCCCGCACCTGGTTATCTGTGGCCATGTCCTGTAAAAACAACTCCTGTGAAGGAAGAAAGCCTTGTGGAGGAATCAGGGCTCTCTCTATCCTGTCTTAGTTTGGTGTCTTTACAGACCTTGAAGCAGCACAAAAGTAGAAATCTGTTTGCACAATGACTTTTCATTTTACAAAGTCTTTATAAGAAAAACTTCATATTCTATTTCACTATTGGGTAAACTGTCAGTTATGTACCATTCTTTTCTCTCTCTCTCTCTCTCTCTCTCTCTTTTTGAGATAGTGTTTCCCTGCAGCCCCAAATGTCCTTGAATTCCCTAGATAGACCAGGCTGGCCTCCATCTCACAGATTCACCTGCCTCTGCCTCTAGAGTCCTGGGACTAAAGGTGTGTGCTACCACACCTGGATTTTTTTTTGTTCTTTGTCCATTCAATTTTTTATTCCTATTTAAGTTATATCAGAACATTTTCAGATTTGCAGAGAAGTCAGGTTGGGTGCATGATTTGCATATAGTTTGAATGTGACTCCCAAAACTTCACATGTTAGGAGACTTGGTCTTCACTGTGTTGATGTAGAAGCATCCTGACCCTGGAATTGTTCTTTGGCTTTCTGCATTGAGAGTTCTTTTTCCTACATGCACTGTGTTCTCACCATCCACTTGAGACACTCGCCACAACTGGCTAGATCAGAGTCTATGCCATGCAGTTTGAACTTCCAATTTCCCAAACTGTGAGGTAAATAAACCTCTTTTCATAAGGTTCGGGTGTCTCAGTGACAAAGCACTTACTAATCTGATGAAGCCCAGTACAGAAATAAGAGTAAAAAAATAGAGAACATTATGCCTTTGAATAGCTGAGAGCTACTTAGGACCTGTCATTCCTAAAACATGCTTCTTAGCAGTTGTCTTAGAGCTTTATATATGCCCATGGCTTGATCACGAGGACTCTGTTTTCAGGAAACCACATTGAAGTCTTCAGGGGAAGATCTGGCTGAGGAGGAAGTATAAGCCCACGAACAAGTCAGGTTGACATACTAGTATTTTCACGACGGCAAAACTTCATGATGACTTGCCTGTCATTCTAATACTTGAGGGGCTGAGGCAGGACCATTAGGAGTTCAAGGCCAGCCTCAGCTACACAGTGAGTTGGAGGCCAGCCCAGGCTATACCACCAAAACAAACAATCAAACAAACCAACCAAACCAAACCAAACAAAAACTTGACAACAATGAGATATAAATGAAATAGTTAGTGGGTCTAGGAGTTTGGAGGACAAACAGTTGGGGTGATTCTCAATGAGGCGAAGCCTGGACAGGAGCCCTTTCAGGGAAGCCTAGAGCACACACATGTACCTCATACACTCAAGCTAGTGGAGAAGAAAGCAGACTGAAGGGACTGGAGAGAGGAGGAGGGCATTTTGTCTGCACACGTCTGACTGGGCATAGTTCTGTCCTCTATTTTAGTTTTATGAACTGTCCTTCCTCTACAGGAAGTAAATGGAAAATGCTTCCACCCTGGCTTTACAAGGGACACGCTTCTAGATGGAAGATCAAATATTACTTTCTGCAGGACTCATAGGTGCTGTGAAAGCAGTGAAGGCCTCACCCAAGCTGCCTGCAACTGTGTAGCAGCTGCTGTTAGTTCAGAAACCTGAGCACAGGCAGGTATTGTGTCCAGTTGGGCAAGGCAGGGTAGCAGGTCTTCAATCTGCCCACACAGAACTGGCTGTCCTCTCGATAATGAATTAGGGACCGATTCTGACACAAAGCAGATGTTGGATAGCAGATACTGACACAAAGCAGATATTGAATAGGACCTATGACTTGTACACATGACTATTTTTGGATTAGATTGGTCCAGATTATTAGCCCTCTATAACTCTGTACCTGGATGAAGCAAAGCTCCTAATTTAATTAATTGGCATTTTGTCTTTGGGCCTGTTTTGATTGGAGTGTTCTAGAGTTGCTATTCTGGGGGCCTGGCAGTGCTGGGTAGCTTCTACTTGGCCAGAAAAGCAGCTGGGTAGCTAAGATCTCCTGGGAAATGGAAAGAGCTATTGATCAGATGTGGGAAATCAAGAGACAGGTGAGAGAATTGGGGATGGTGAACACTCTGTTAAAACTGGGTTTGGTTTTTTTTTTTTTTTTTTTTTTTTTTTTTTTTTTTTTTGTGTTTGGTTTTTTTTTTTTTTTTTTTTTTTTTTTTTTTGAGACTGGGTCTCAAGTCATGTGGCCCAGACTGGCCTGGAACTTGCTAGGCAGCCCGGCTGACCTTGAAGTTCTGGTACTCCTGCCACCATCTCCAGAGTGCTAGGCAAACAACTTTATTAGCTGAACCATATCCCCAGCCCAAAACTGTTTGCTTTTTGTTTTTTGTTTTTAAAATACACATTTCCAGTTAGAAATGCCTGTGAATTATACAGATTATCTCCAAGAGCTGACATTTCTGTACTGCTAGGCAGCCCGGCTGACCTTGAAGTTCTGGTACTCCTGCCACCATCTCCAGAGTGCTAGGCAAACAACTTTATTAGCTGAACCATATCCCCAGCCCAAAACTGTTTGCTTTTTGTTTTTTGTTTTTAAAATACACATTTCCAGTTAGAAATGCCTGTGAATTATACAGATTATCTCCAAGAGCTGACATTTCTGTACAGCAACAAATGAAGTCATCCCGGAGGCTGAGGTAGGCTGTGAACAGAGTAGAAGAGTACCCACCCCTCTGTGTGAAGCTGCAGTTTCCCAGGACAATCTGTAAAAGGGTTATCCCGGGCTCCCTTTTCTAGCTTTACATCTGGCTGGGTTCCAGCCCACAAGAGCTGTAGGGTTTCTACAGCAAAACAGGGAGCTTCCTCTCCAGGTCATAACTTTCCTTTTTCAGGTCCTGGCATGTCAGTTTTGGAAGTAGAAACAAATGACTGCTTCTGGAATCATCTTAGGTACATACAGAAAAATGCACTTAGGGTGAAGTGAAGTCCTGGAAGGAGGCATTTAAAGCCCGGGTATTAGAAGAGGCAGCTGCAACTTAACCCTTCCCTCTCCTCCCCTGGATCCTCACCGCTGGTCCTTCCATCCGGAGGCCAGTGTCACTTCACTCGGGGGACTACCCACGGTCTTGGAAGGGCTTCCTTAGGACCGCGGCCAAGAGCATCCACTTTACCGATGAGAAGTGACGTCTTTATGACGCGGCGGGTGGCGGGTCCCGGTCTCCCAAGCCAGGTCGTGTCCGAGGAGGAGGGGACCCTCTGCCGGCGAGGCGGGTCCTCGGTGGCCAGGGGAGGCCGACGCCGAGCCGGGCGGAGCCGAGAGCTTGATCTGCTAGGCTCGCCCCAACGCGCCGGGAGGAGCCGGCTGGCGGCACGTGACCCATCGCGGCCGGCTGCGGCCCAGAAATAGCCACCGCGGCGGTTCAGCCCGGAGGCCGGCGCGCGTTCCGGGAGACGGCTGGACGCAGGCTGGGCGCGGCGCGGCCCGGACGATGCTGCTGAGCTCCGGCCCGGCCCGGCCCCGAGTACATGATGGCGATACGGGAGCTCAAAGTGTGTCTTCTCGGGGTGAGTCCTGGCTCCGTTCCTCCGGACTCCCGCGCCTTTGTCCCCGCTCCCTCGCGCTCCCCTCCGCCCCGGGCGCCTCCTCTCCGCGCCCCTCACCCTCCGGGTCGCCACCGCCCGCAGTCGGGTCCCAGCTGCCCCCAAGCTTCCCGGCGCGTTCGTCCGCGCCCCTTGCGCCCTGGGACCGCTGGGTCCTTACCACGGATGGGGGGTGTGAGTTGAGGAGCCCGTGGGGATCCCAGCAGCGGCGGGTCGTGGCCTCCGCTGCTGTCCCTCGGTCCCCAGGGCTCTTTCCTCCGCCTTTGATGATTTCCTCCCCAATGAATGGTTAAGTTACTCCGCGGAGACAGCAGCTTCCCTCTCTGTCTCCTGGGGGGCAGTTGGTTTATTCACTTAGAAAACAACCCAACAAACCAACAAACCAGTTCCTCCAACTAAGGGAGAGAGCCAACCGAGGGCCAGGCCAGATGCAAAGCTAGTAAAATCAAATTGTGGACTGTACGCCCAGCAAACTTTCCTGCAGCGCATAAAAGCAGGATGAGAAACTCAAACCCTCCACCATCACACTTCCCCTTCCAAACAGGGCCCTTTTCAGTCCCAAGAAACATCAAGGCAGCCAGAAACAAAGAAAGAAAGAGCACCCGAACCCTTGCGACTGCCGGACAGAGGTGTCCACTCTCACAGGGTAGCCCCTGGGGATTCAGTGTTTGGGGGTCATTTCTTTGGGGCTACCTACATCAAATTCTGTAAATCTTCCCAAATAAGAGCTGGTGTCGATCCATGCCTTCAGTAGTCTTTGGCGTCAGCACCCTTGAAGTTCGTAAATCCGGCAGTCCAAGGAAAGCATTTTCTAAATAAAAGAGCTGGACAAGGTAGACCACATTCATCCAAATGGGCCTGTCCAGATGGATGAGGGTTAAGTGTAGACACCCAATGACTGCAGATTAGGACTGAATGTACCAGCCAAGGATTTGTGTAGGCTTCATCTAGGCTCGGCTGGATCCTTTGGCAGAAAGTTCTGGGAACTGTCTCTCACACTGTCTTCTGTCACTTAACTGAATAGTTGCTCTGGTTGGTGGAGAATTTCAGGAGGTCTGGCAAAGGCCCTTTTTCCCTTTTAATATCCAGCATGCTCTCCCCAGAACTCCTCGCCATGTGGACCTGTAGTGGCACAGATCTGGGTAGGTCCCTTTGGGTGGTCTTTGTTGAAGTTTTGCTGTTTCAGAAGTGAGTTTCATGTCTACTGGGCTGTCAATATAGCCCAGACTTAAATTCTAAGACTCCCATGTGAGAAAAGTCTTTGAAGATTTAGGAGTGTCAGGCCCTGGTGTTAGGGGAAGCTTGGTTGTGTGAGTGTCACAGTTGGCCTAGGAAAAAGATAAAAGGAAATGTCTTTGCCCTTTGGGGAGACACTTTCTCCCTTATAACCTACTTAGGTGGCACAGGCCCCATCCAGTCCTATCACTCTCAGTTTTCAGTTTCAATGTTTGTATATCCTACCAGGACAGTGATCAGGTGGCAGTACTCAGAACCAGGAGGCAGGATCCCTGGTCACTCCAACCTCACTGTCGGGAAGTTCAGGTCTAGGTGAAGTGGCTCAGTTGCCTCATTTGTAAAATGGGCATAATATCCCCTTCCCTTCAAAGGCACAGAATATATTACTCAATCTCTCAAGATGTATGTGTGATACCATTTCTTGCTGATCTGTGACTGTTAGTAAGCCTGGGGTAAGATGAGAGAGCTAGAGGAAATCTCTTCTTTTTCTCTTCATCTTTCCACATGAAGCACACTATCTACTGGCTCCCTCTTTGTGTGGCCCTATGGGTAGGAATTTGAACTGGGAGTGAAGGAGTCTACAACAGAAAAAGAAGCAGTTTCTAGAAGCTTTGAAATGACTGTTGATAACACACCATACCTGTGGCCTCCTGTTTTTGAAGGTGGCAACCTTCTTACTGAAGTCAGAAGATACTTTATTTCAAAGAGCAAGCAACCTCCTTATCCATACCGAGGACTAGTTGTTAGGTCCCCTGGTTTGATTGGGCCGGGTGTATGTGACAGACTGCATTTTAACTGTGTATCTAAATAGGCTGGCTTTTACTGTGAGAAGGTACTTGAAGGAAGTCAGCTGCCCTTGATACAGGAATATCAGGAAGTCTTTGAGAGTGGCAGAGCCTTTCTTGGCTCTGTTGTGTTTAGCTTGAGAGGCTAGGGTCCCAGAAACTCAATGGCAACTAAAGCCACGTCAAGCCAGAGGATTTGGGGTTCTTATAAATTTGAAAAGTGAAATTCACAGACCATAGAAGGAGAGTTTTAGAAAGGAGTATTTAATTATAGGAAGCTTAGGAGAAGAAGAAGGCAGAGTTCCCATACAGCAGGCGGCATCTCTGGGAGTGGAATTCCATTGAGTCTCATTTCTTGGAAGTTAATAAGGGTGTAGTGGAGGGAGGAGGGGAGGGGCAGATGAGCTGGTCAGTCTAGTTCTCATTCCAGGTGTCCAGGTCCCTCAGGGTTCCTCAGCAGGAGATGTCTTCCAGGAACAGGGTATTATTTCAGGGAAAAAGATTAGGAAAGAAACTAGACCCTCTTCTTGACATCCCCAGCCTCTAGCTATGGTGGAACCAGAGACATCTTTGGATTAGATAGTTCTGGCATTTCTGGCCTTAGGTAGGAACTAATGTACTGGCAGGTCCGAGGAAATTTCCTGCTCTTAGCTGGGAAAGAAATTATCTCTTTTCTTTTGGGGTCTAAAATTACCCTAGACTACCTAGCCGATTTCTACCTCCTGTTCTCATTACCATGGTGTACCGTTTGGTTTTGAGAGACCCTATGAGCCTGAGGATGGAATGTGTGGGGGTGGGTGGGTTGTGGGGTGTGTGAAAATGATGAGCCTAACAGACCTTTCAGAATTTGAACAGGAGCCTCAGGCTCCTCTGTTCTTTGTGAAAGGGCTGTTGTCTGTTGGGGTGAAGTATTACATGGAGCTGGCACTCAGCTTCCTGTTTTATTTAGCTGTGCCTTACCTCCCTGAAGTCTCAGTATGATCAAGACCCTCAGTTACCTAGAAGGTGACAAAGTATATGGACTCTATAGTGCAGTCTTACTCTCACTGGAAAGGCTTGGCAACTAGTCTTCTTGTGCATGGTTACTGCTCAGCACTTGCTTGAGGACACGCTCTCCACTCATGATACCAGCTGTTTTAGGCTGTACAAACTTTTGTCCTGGCTCCCTGATGCTGACAGGTAAAGCTGAGTATGGGCCAAGTGGCATGGTCTGCTTATCTGTCCCTGTGCCTTTCAGAACCTTTATGCTCCTATGGTTTCCTTGGCATGTTAGGCATGTCTGACTTTCTTTTGGTGAGTGCTCCAAGATGGGTTGGCATTATTCTGTGTGACATTCTTTGATTGCTTAGTGATCTTGGAAAGTTAAGGACTTGAGTATTGGGTTTACTTATGTTACTTGTTACACATTTGTGGATGTCCTCATGTTTATGCTACATGGGGACAGTGCAGCAAGCCTTTGTGAATGCCCTTTGCTGGAGTACGTGGACTGGCTGTGGAAGCTAGCCATGCCCAAAGGGTTTGCTTGACCAGGGAAACCGCCCTAGGCAGGGGCCACCAGACACCCAGGACCCTGTGAGTCTCAGTCTTGCAAATAATGTGCCAACTGTCACACCACTGAATCTAAAATACTATTATGAAATACATAGCTTAAAAAACAACACCCATTAAAAACAGCAAAGTACATTTTCAAAAACTAACAAAAACAATATTGAGGCAGCAGCCGATTTAACCTCAAAGGTGGAAAGCTTCCCAGTATGCATTTTAACACACATCGCCACGTGGCAAGAGCAGAAGATGGAGAGGAGAAGGCGGAAGGGGGGAGTGGCTGGAGCAGCTGGAGAGGTTGGAGGAGCTGGAGGAGAAGTTTATTTCCTCTGGGTGTATGTGTATGTTCACTAAAAATCTGCTTCCGGACGGGATCCCAAGGAGACTTGTATTTGTGCTTTGGTTGTCTTGACAACAATTTAGAGATTTCTGCTACTCCTTAGCAGATGAGTGGGTAGTTAAAATACAACTGAGGGCTTCTCTGCCTCTTGTAAGGAGCTCTGGAAACCTCTCTTCTCATCTTTTGTTAATATATGAATGGTGTCTCATCAAAGAGCACTTACATGCCCAGGATTTAGTGAGACATCTAAAGTGGGAGTTTAGATTTGTACAGGCTTCTACAGGTAGTACTCTATGATCACAAGGATGCTAGAACCCAAGAATGGACAGGTTTCTCTCATCATTAAGCAGAACAGTTGGAGTGTATACTCTCAGACTGACTGTTCTGAGCAACAGTGAGTTCTCTGTTACTGAAAACATCTGATGAATTTATGTGAATTTATTGAAGTTTTGGGAGGAACTAATAGAATAGTAGGTTAAACTAGGTAACTCTCTTAGACTGTTTTCTGTTGCTATAACAAAATATTAAAGGCTAGATACTTGGGAAAGTTAAGAGGATTTGGCTTATGATTCTGGTGGTTGTAGATTACAAATACTATGGCACTGGCCTTCTGGTGGCATCAACCCCTGGTAGCGAGAATATGGGGATGGGAAATTAGGAATGAATGGCTCCTTGGTAGACAGTGGGGTCGAAGGGGTCAAGTGGAAGAGGGGTCAAGTTGGGAGTGGAAGAACAGAATTTAGTGTGCACACCAACTTTCCTCTCCTGTCAAAGCCTTTACTGAAATGCATTATTCAAATAATTTCTAATCCAAAAGACCTTCTGGATTCTTCTTTCTTGGCCTCCACTGTATTTCATCAACTTCCACTACTTCCCACTGCGCCACATCTCACCTCGGCAGCATGGCACCATCAGTGTGGGCCATGAGTGTCACTTTCTGTGCACATAACTGTCCTTGTTCCCAAACCAGTGACCTCTCTACCCCAGATGGGGCCAGAACTCACCTTCCCTACTTTCTCCAGCAGAGCTTTTGCAGCACCCTACCTCAGCAGGTACTC